TTTTCTAAAATGTCTTGGAAGATGAAAAATATGAAGAAGTAATATTAAAATTTAGTAGGGTGCCTTTTTCAGGATAGCCTGAATCCTACTTTCATTATTGTAATCCTGAAGCGTTGCTCTTTGTGGCTAGGAATACTGAAACAGATCCGGAGTAGTTTGTGTATAAGGATTAATTTTGTGTAAAGTCTTGATGTTTATATTATGCAGTTTCTTACAATTACTCCATGTAGGTCACATTTTGTGAGTTGTTGGGTATGAGAACATGCTGAATAATTGTTATATTCTCATTTATGATTTGGGTGAATGTTATTTTTGCTCGGTGATGACAAATTGATGTTGGTGTGTGCTTGTACATGCTCCAAATACTTCTGGTTTTTTTGCCTCCTGTCTTTACATTACTTTGTCTTCTCTATCTCAGTGATCCCTTTCTGTTCTTCTGATGCGTGAAGTAGGTCTGTGTAAGTTTATGTTAATTTCCTTTACAACTCAAGTGTCTTAAGCATTCATAGGTCAGGGGTACCCATGCAGCTCCTAAATGGGGACAAGACTGGGAGAACCTGAGAAGAACTGTGGCCATATGAATCCGCCTGATTGTATTTCTGTAGTAGCGTGGTCTAGTACTGTTCAGAATGACGTGTTTACCTCAGGCGAAGTCACTTGGCTGCAGGGGACAGTGGGAAACGGCTGTGGACAGTAATCCTTGTCATCTTCTGCCCCGTGCTTCCTCAGAAACCTGCCTGCGAAGGTACAGCACCATATTCAGTGAGCTCTGATGTGAAGCGTGAGACTCAGTAGAAAGTTGAAGCACTGCAGATTGTTCAGTTCTTCAAAGTAGTGCAGGATTTTTGTCTCCTTTCCCTTGGATGCACTTCTGAGGGTTGTTAAAATGAGCAGGCCTTGTCTCTAGCTTTTGAAAAGCGAATGCAGGCGTTACTTAATGTTTTCAGAAATGTTTATCCTGGGAAGTTTGTCAGCTATGAAGATTTCCAAGTTTCTGTCTGCTGTCATTCCTGGGACAGCAATGAGTAACTGTTCTATCAGAGACGTTTATCGTAGCTGTAATTCAGCTGACTTTCCTCTCAGTGACAGTATAATCCATTTAGGGTAGTGTTTCCCAGCAAAACAAAAGCTGTGTTTTTCAGCGTCTGTGCAGCATTGCACTGCTCAGCACCTTGCATGACCGATGCCATTGGATGTGCGCTGAGTTTGGTGTTATTTTCAGGACGGGACGGTCTCCTAAGTGGTAAGAAAATTCAGCATCAAGAGTGTACTTCCTTAGATCCACCTACAGGTCACACCACCAAACTGTGTGGGACCAGGTGTTCGCTGGTTGTTACATGGTGGTTCTTAAAATCTGTTGACATTATGGAATCAGGTATTTGAGATTTGGGGTTTTTGAGGTTCCAGAAGGAGAGGAACTGTTTCACAGCTGGAGCATCCTCACAATGACAATCATGGGAACCCAGAGCCAGTAACATGACATAAACGTGCCTCTGGTCCTGAGACTGTTGATAGGAGGAAGGGAAGGTTTTTGTTGTGTTCCAGTGTGTTAAAGTGAGCAAGACTGCAGAGTGTGCAGTGCTGACATGTTATTCTTTTTCACTTTGCATTTCTCACCAAATAGAAACACATATGGGCTCACTTTTAGGTACTGTGATTACTGGTGCATTATTAGTAATTAAGATAGATGAAAAATAACTCTGTTTTCTGACACATTTAGCTGCAGGGAGTGTCTCCTGAATTGAAATAGCTGCAGTAATTTGATTTACTGATTTTTAGCATTAGGGAAAATATAATTTCAGAAAATGCAAAGAAAAATAGGTTTTTCTATGTATTTATTATTAAATTGTTAAAAAAAGATTACTAATTTGCAAATGAAATTCAAATATTACATGTTACACTATTACAGTGTCAGGATTGTGTTAGAAAAAACTGTTAAGTAGATAACTGGAATTTGCAAATGGTAATTCTGACAGCCACATCTTGGCCGAGCTATTCTGTTTCTGTGTGTCCTGACTAAAGTGGCTCTTTTAGTCCTGGATTTCAAGAGCAGTCTGTGGTTTAAAAGGGTGCTGCTAACTTAAAAAAATCCATAAAGTCACAGTATCTTTCTAAACAGCCTTTCTGTATTCTGCAGTGTTGAGAAATACAATGTATGTGATTTTTATTGGTGCCTTTAGAGTCTGCTTTGATACTTCCTTACTAATAAGTAAGCAAAGACTTCTATGATTTGCATTTGATGTGTTTGGTCCATCTTTCCATTTTGATTTTTGCCTTTTTGTGGACTGTTAGAGTTTGGGGTGTTTTGGTGGTTTGTTTTTTTGGTCGGTTTGTTTGTTTGCTACTGTGTTTTGCTCTGTTTTCTTTGTTGTTTGCAATGGACTTATTTCTAAGAAAGAGGGTCAGTGAATGACCAGTAAACAAAACATTGTCAAATGCCCGAAGTAGAAAAGAAACCAGAGTTGAAGAGAATTTCTTTTAAGACTTTACCGCTGTGGTGTTGATTAGAACACAGAAAGGTAACAAATGCCTATGCTGTTTTCTGTTGCCATTAGAAATTAATCTAATACAAAGCCCAAGGAAAAATGCTTCCGAAGTGCATGTTTGAGAGCTTAATTATTTTTGTAAGAAATTTTTGTTATCTCTATACTTGGTCTAATTGGGATCTGGTTACGCCTATGCACTTCCTGCAGTCAACAAAAGAAGAACAGCTGCATTTACAGATCCGCGTATTGATTGCTTCTAATCCAGCTGAGGTAAGAAATAAGAGTATATAAGCATATAAGAGTATATTCTTTTTGATGAGGCTGGAATTTGACTAGATGCTTTTTAATTCAGTAGAGAGCTGCTGCTGTGCGTGTGCTCCGGTTTATGAAGCAATTGCAAGTAAAATGGTTTGAAGAAGGAGGAGGGAGGGTAAGGGTCAATAATATTAAGAAAGATTCCTGGCGCTGACTAGAAAGTCCCTGCATCAGCCTAAGGGAGTCTGATCTTGGAGTTGTGAGCAGCCACTTCTGCTCTTCTGGGTTGAAAAATGTGGTTTTCATCTTACTGTCTTTTCATCTGACTCTGCTCTCTAGATAAATTTTAACTTGTTTGAAGATCCTTCATGGTCTGTTCTGGGGACAGAGAGGTGCTTCTCTGAGGAGACTTGTTAGTGCCTAAAAGAAGCCTAGCTGCTTTCTTCCCTGCTTTGGTCCATAAAGTAACCAGCTGTAAGATTCTGGCATCAGCCCTGTCTCTTAAATGCAATCTGTCAAGAGGGAAAGGAAAACAAAACCGTGCATCTTCACTATTTTGTTCGAGGCAGCAAGAGAGGAGTGAATGAGCAAGCTCGTGTTGAGGGATGGGAAGACAGCATGGTCATTGTTTTGATGTTGTTTTCTTTCAATCCCCTCATCTTCCCTTTTGAAGAAGCGGGTCGTACTTTTCTGTGGAAGAGCAGTTATTTGAAAACCAATAAAAGGTCAGGAGGGTAAAAGCTTCGGTGTTTGAGAGAGGAGAATTTTAGCCGGATTGCTTAAGGGAGATGAGTGTTGCGGTGATTTAATACTTTGTGCTAAAAGTAAAAAGGTGATTTAATATTACATTTTACAAGTGGTTTATTGCTCTAAAATTTAAAAGGTCAGCAAAGCCACCCAGTATGGAGGACGTTTTTTCTTCTTCTTTTCCATTTACATCATAAAGTAGTAATAGATAAAACACATACAGTCTGAAAGAACGGATAGTGGCAGACTGCTGTCAGAGGTCAGGAGCCTGAAAGTCCCAGTGAAATGTGGAGTGAACCATAGATTTGGAAGTTACTGATTTTTCTTTTGAAAGTATGATGGTTTTTATTCGTGCCTGTTCTGCTGGGTCCCAGTAAACCCTGTTGTTTTTCCTTTAAAGGACAGAGGTGATCTCTGCTGTTAATGCTCATTTGGTACTGATGAAGTCATCACTTATCTCGTTGGTTGTTTTTTTTTCCCCCATAGCTTGCCAAGCTGTAGTCATGGAATATATTTCACTGTCATGCTACAAAAATCCTCCTTTTTTGTAATTTACTAAAAAATAATTTGTTATTAGTGCCTCTCAAGATGTTTTTCATGGCAGTGCTGATCAAATGACACTGACTCAGATGCTCCCATCCTCCGCTCCTTTCCCTTTGTTCTCTGAAAAACTGACTTCTGTATTCTCAAGTTTTTACTCCTTCGCCCCCCACTGAGTGCCCTGAGGAATCTGTGCTGTGTGCCTCTCTTTCTCTCCTGCAGGGGTGGGTGGAGAGGAGGAATAGCAGAAAGGGCAGACTTCTGGTAGGAGGCCCTGTTGGGTTCCCAGCAGAGAGCTCTGGAGGCTGGAATGCTGACTATGTCCCTTCTCCCTGCTTGCTGACCCTCTGCTGCATGCTGCTTCTGCAGGCTGGAGTGTGCCTGCAGAGCAGAAATCTTCACAGTTTTGTTTGTTGGACTGTGCTTTATTCCTTGAAAGGATCAGTTCTGGTGTTTGCAGTGTCCTCAAAACACTGTGTGATGCAGCAGTCTGCAGGGAGCCACCTTAGCGATGCCGATCTGCAGTAACATGTGCATTGTCCAGAGATCTAGTAATGTATTTTTGCTTTACTGTATTTCTCTGTTGCTTTGATCAGAGAGTCTTCTTGAATTAAGTGGCTTAACTATGTGAAGACTCGGGATTTTTGTTTTAATTTCACTTATGAAATTTATACAGATACATGATGCAAGTCTAAGACAGAAACGAGTTGCTGATGTAGACTCCTGAGTGTGCTGCCTTAAATAGGTGATTATAGTGGAATACAGGAAAGAAGTTGTCTGATCTCTCAGACTGTAGCAGCATGGTAGCTGAATTGTAAGAAACAATGCTGGAACAGGGGTCTATGCATCCTGCTTTAGCTCTTCTGAAATGTAAAGGCAACTCCCCAAAGGAAGGTGACTCACAGAGTGTCAGTGTTGCTGGTGTTCGCTCCAGTTGTCTTTGCATTCCCCTTCACAGTGGCATTGGGTGCCATGGCTGGCCTGAGACTTCGGGGACTGGCATCCTCCAAACTTTATCAGCGCCGACAGGATCAGCTAAGTGGCACAGGGTCGCTCCTGAGCACCAGGACAGATACGGCAGCTGGGACGTGTGGGTATGTCTGTGAGATGGAGGGAATGGTATTGCCGAAGCCTTTTCCAGGATTTGATAGATGCTCGGTTCTGGTGGTGGGGCTTTTTTATTTAAAGAGGGAGTTGTCTGCACACAGCCAGAGGGGATGAAGTCTGTTTGTTTTCATTTTCTATGTACATTACAAAGGAAAGGACTTTCCTGATGAGGAAGCTTTCAGTTTTTAACAATAACAGGAAAGCAGCAATGGAGAACCTTTCCTGTTTCAAAGCACTGGACTGGACTGTTCAGAACCAGCATTACTGCTGGTCTTGTTCATGGTGAAGCATTTAGGCACTGTGGTGAAATGCAGTCATTTTTCAAAATGCTGATACAATTCTACCATTCCTTGTACATTTCTTCATGTTGTTGATGTTTCCCAGTGCTGAGTGAGCACTGCTAAATGTGTCTTTTTAGTAATTGGGGATTGTTTACTGGAAATAAGCATTGCACTGCACCGAGAGGGATGAAGTGCAGGATTTTTTCCTGTGTGAATACCAACAGATTCCATTGCTGCTGCTGCTCTCAAAGGTCTGCACGGTTGTGGTTTCCCCTGCAGACCAACTGTACCAACATTGCATTTTGCTCTCGCCTGAAATGTATGAAGGAGTGGAATTTTTGTAAACCTCTGGATTCCTCAGGTAGCACTTTGCTGTTGCTGGTAGGCCAAGGAGAGATGGGGAACCACAAAGATTTTTTTTCTCCATATTGTGACCATTTTTTTTGTCTTTTCTTGCTTTTTGTTATCCCTGTGTAGAAAATGTGAACAAAATGTGTTTATTTCATTGAAAGATTGGGGGCTGCTTGATCAAGGAAGATATGCTGAGAGAAACACGATTCATTTCTTATTGAGCGAGCTGAAAAAATACTTAGATAGGGAATTAACTGAAAAATCAATGTAAGCAGAAGGAGAAGTACTGTGAATGTTAAGCTATGCACGTAGTATTATCAAACACACAACAAATCACACATCGAACAAATGGGACTTTTTTTCCCCTCTGGCATTTTATGACAAGTTTACCGACAATGTTAAAGCAGTTAAATCAGTTTGGGAAAGCTGTCCAGATAAAAGTCAATTGCAGTGAACAGATTTTGGAAGAACGATAAGGGCAGTTGAGGGCTGTTTCTCAGCAGAAGTTCATGAACTGATACCCTTCCTCTTTCTTTTTTCTCTGTATTAGTCACTGTCTGTGGAATGAGTCATAAAGTCTGGTTATTGTCTTGGCAATTTTTTTTTGTCATTGCCAACATTAAGGACTTAAAGCCACAAATCCTCAACCACGCTATGAAGGTGGGAAGAAGCCCCTCTGCTAGAGTGCTGTGATTTCTTTTTTCTTAGCTACTGGCATCTATGATACACACAAGTGGTGTCAGCTTTCTGAGTTTTGACTTTTCACTATCCTAGGCATCTGTGTGTGTATACGTACTAGAAATGATGCTGTGAATGCTGTCACATTGTGCTGTGTTCTGGGTACACTCACTTCTACTGGTAGATCAGGACGAGCAGAGAATGCCTTTGCAGGATTCCCTAGCATAGGTATGGTGATAGAGATACACAGGTGCTAGAGCTCTTGTATCTTGAAATGTCTTCCTTTCTTTTTGTATTACAGTAGTAGTAGCTGGTTTTGTCACTGCTTTAGGAGCACACTGCCTAGTCACTGTTCTCTCTCCAGCCTTTAAATGGCCTTTAGTTAAGGGCACAAAGAGCAGCATGTCTTTTGGTGCAGTAGTGTGTGGCCACTGCAAAAACTGGTCTCATAAGCATGTTCTTTGCCTCTTTTGTCACAGCTAAACCACAAGAAATCTGAGGAAGAGCTGTTCGCTAGGCCAGGTAGCGATAGGACGGGGGGTAATGGTTTTAAACTAGAAAAGGGCAGATTTAGGTTGGATATTAGGAAAAAGTTCTTCAATATGAGGGTGGTAGATCACTGGCCCAGGTTGCCCAGAGGTCGTGCAGGCCCCATCCCTGGAGATATTCAAACCCAGGCTTGATGGGGCTGTGAGCAACCTGATCTGGTGACATTGTCCCTGCTCAATGCAGTGTTGGACTGGATCAGCTTTAAAGGTCCCTTCTAACCCAGTGCATTCTGTGATTCTAGATCACACACCACTCCCAACCAATGTCCCTCCTGTAACACAAACCAGCACTGATCCAGGTGCAGTTCATTGTGTTACGCAGGTTCTTCTCAGCATAAACGATTCATTCAGGTCTTTCTGTAACACCTGTACCTGTGGCACAGAATGGGTTTCCCCATTAACTTCCACTTCTCCTAAGGAAGGAATTTTTGGTTTTTTCCCCAGTTGAAAGCAAAGCTGATACTTTGTAATAAATAATTCTGAGAAGTCAAAGCATGAGAAACCCACGCCTACTTATGATGGTAAATATGGGATTTCTGCACATTAGGTACTTTGGCAAAGATAATTTGTTAAAGGTACAACACATAATGGTGAGAGGTTGGAAAAAGCGTTGTTTGAGCACTGGTATTTTTGGGGTTTGCACAGAACAGAATAAGTTCAGGATGTTGAGCTGGTCATGGTTTGATCGCCTTTCCTGTCTTTGTGTCACTACCTTATTGTTAAAGCAGAGGAAGATTCTGTATTTTCCTGAACTGAAAAAAAAAAAACAGCAAACAGAATACAAAGGGGAAAGATTCAGATCTAAACATCTTACGATTGACACAGCACGTCAAACTTTTGTGGTCACTCTTGGCACCGCCATCAAAAGAGTGGTTTTGGTGTTGCTTCTCTTCTCCCCATGCTGCTGATAGAAGTGTTTTTGCAGCAGTGTAGTAAACTGAATAATAAAACTGCTCTGAATTAGAACAGTCTTCCCTCCCCCTTGCAGCCTTGGTTAATTTTAACTTTGAGTTAGTTGAATAAATGCTTGTTTTTGCACAAGGAAGAGGGTACGCAGGAGTGTGAGTGAGATTAAGAAACTGTGGCAAACATGAAAGTAAAACTTTTGAATCAATGCACAGTCATACTTTAAGACAACGCTGAAGTTGCAAAGTTTAACTTGAGTGTAAAAGAATAAAATGTCTTAAGTGAAAACAGCTGCAAAGTCATAAAAGAAAGGAGAGCAGAAAGGCAAAAATCAAGCTGTGATTCTCAAAGAGCTACAGCTGCTGGTTTGTGTTACAGGAGACATCGGTTGGGAGCTGGTGTGTGATTTAGAATCATAGAATGTGTTGCGTTGAAGGGACCTTTAAAGCTGATCCTGCCCAACCCTGCAGTGAGCAGGGACAATGTCACCAGATCAGGTTGCTCACAGCCCCATCAAGCCTGGGCTTGAATATCTCCAGGGATGGGGCCTGCACCACCTCTCTGGGCAACCTGGGCCAGTGATCGACCACCTCATGGGGAAGAGCTTTTTCCTAATATCCAACCTAAATCTGCCCTTTTCTAGTTTAAAACCATTACCCCTCGTCCTATTGCTACATGCCCCAGTGAACAGCTCTTCCCCAGATTTCTTACAGTCACCTTTCAGGTCCTGGAAGGTCGCTATAAGGTCCCCCCGGAGCCTTCTCTTCTCCAGGCTGAACAACCCCAACTCTCTCAGCCTGTTTTCGTAGCAGAGCTGCTCCAGCCTCTGATCATCTTTGTGGCCTCCTCTGGACCCACTCCAGCACTTCAATATCCTTTTTGTGCTGGGGACTCCAAAGCTGGATGCAGTGTCCAGGTGAGGTCTCATCAGAGCAGAGCAGAGGAGCAGGATCACCTCCTGGCCCTGTTGGCCACACTTCTTGTGATGCAGCCCAGGATGGGGTTGGTTTCTGGGCTGCAGATGCACATTGGTGGTGCAGAACAGGGGTGCATTTGGCTTTCGCGGGGAATCTCAATTTCCCAATAGATTTTATGTTGTTTAGAATCAAGGTTTACTGTGGGGTTACTGTGTCACAACAGCCTTCAAATGCTGGTTTCAGAATGGAGAGTCTTGAAAACCTTATCCTTATGAGTGAGTTGGTTCTTATGAGTGTTTATGAGGTAGTTGTTGGTGGCATTGGTGAGTATTGTTCCTTCCCTGGAGTACTGTTAAAGTCTGCTTGGAGAAAGAAAAAGCAATCAGGATTTTTTAAAAAGTTGATTTCATGTTTATAAAGCAAAAAACCAACACAACCTTAGATCGTGCTTTGGTAGTGGTGTGGAGAATGTAAGATTTGCTGTGGTGTAGGAAACTATGAGACTTGCCGGGATGCTGCTTCACCTGGTTTTGTCCCATCCCCCAGAGTAGCGTATTCACCCAATGTTGATGTGAGGCTTTCTTAGTCATGGCTGTTGGCTGGCTCAAGTTTTTGGAATTTGGACATCAAATTCTTTAGGAGGGGAAAAATGCTTCCTGGGGAGATTATGTTTTCAAGTCCTGGTACACGTTTGTGTGATTTAACTAAAGGAGTGGTGGCTGAATACTAAGCCGATTAGGTCTCTTGGCTTTGCTGCAAACAGTGATGTTTTTGTGTTGACCTATTCCTTTGGTACTCTGTCAGGCTATGATCTCTGGTGTATGAAATTACAGGATTTCCTGCTTGTCCATAAGTCCCATCCAGGTCTGTTTTTTAAAGCTCCTTTGTACCGCAATAAAGAAACAAGTTGTAACAAATTTCTGCTAAATCAGTACTCCTTTCTTGAAATTATTACCAGCTCTCCTGGTCTTTGCCACCTTTGGAATTGCAGTGGCAGAAAGAAAGTATCTTAAAGTGTAACAACGTTGAATGTTTATATTATTGAGTACTCTAGTGGTTAAAAGAAAGATCACAGTAACAAGAAACTGAGACTGCATAGTCTTTTTCTCCCTTCTTGGACATGCAATATATGATTTTAAAACTGCATTCTGTTAGTACATAGAGGACATGGATTAACATGATGGTAGGTGTGAAAGTTTTGCGAAAGAGGTTATTGTTCCACATTTTAGGGCAGATAGAGGAAATATCATTTGCATGATTTGTGAGTGTGGCTTTGGGGTTTTTTTTCGCCTCACTTTCTGAGGAAATGAAGCTGATGTATTTGCCAAACCAGCCAGAGAGACTCCTCTCTTCCCATACCTTTTGAACTCTGACAGTTTCAGCTAATATGTCGGGAAGACAGAGGTGTTGTATGTAATTATTTTCCAATGAATCTTGTGCACGTTAGCTGCTAGGTTAATTCCTACAGTGAGGGGGAGACTAGAGTGGGATATCAGTGCTTATTGCACATCAGAAAATCCTCAGAGGTGCACATACTGAGACCAGAAATCCCAAGAAATCAGAATCATTGCACTTGCTGCTCTACAAACTGCTGTTTTATTTAAGATTTTGGATATTTGATATTAGCAGGGTGACAATAGTGGGGTGATAGACTGGTGAAGAGAAGTGTATGGTAGGGAAGTCTGCTCCATGAGCTCATTCTGCCACGTGTGAGTTGCAAAACCATTATTTCTGACTGATGTCAGTCCCAAGGTGACTTATTGGTCTTTGGTTTTAATTTCTTTCTGTGTGAAAGGGAGTTTAAAGCAATGGAAATGTTGTGTTCACAGCTGTTGAAGAAACTTGGATGATGTGAATATACTTGTGCGATTGGCTGTGACATTGCTCATGTTCTTACTCTTGTCTTTACTCCAGTAACATGTCGGATGCTCTCGCGAATGCGGTGTGTGAACGCTGCCAGACTCGGTTTGATCCTGCGGAGAGGATTGTGAACAGCAATGGGGAGCTCTATCACGAAAACTGCTTTGTCTGTGCTCAGTGTTTTCGTCAGTTCCCAGAAGGACTTTTTTATGAGGTGAGGTCTTACGCTGCGTGTAAGAGAAGGGAAATATCTCCATTAAAAGGCAAGGAATTAAGGGAAAAGTCTGGCAGAAATATGAATTTCCATCTTTCTTGCGTGTTTAATTCCTTAGTCCTAAACTATTTTTTTGGAGGGGCTTCTGACTTAATTTCTTTTTGTTTTCTCTCACATACTCCTTCCTATACATCAGTAAGAACAAAAACTGTATGCTTGCTCTCTGGGTAAAAGGTGCTGAAAGAAGAAAACAGATAATGCTTCTTAATATTTCATTAGCAATAAGTGAATCTTTGTCTTTATTTTTAGATATTTCGTACCAAACTTTTCCAATTGAGCAACTGAAATTGGTGAACCCATTTAATAATGAGGTTGAAATATTTTTGCAGAATATGTGTGAGCACATATTTTGAATAATACATTGTTTTCAACATGCTGCGTTCTTAACTTGCCATGAGTTTTAGTATCATGTAGGAGGAGTAGTTCTGAATTACATGAATTAAAAAAAAAATAAAGAAAAAATTAAATAAAAGCCAACTCTAGCAAAAGGGCTTCAGACACTTCAAGACTTTTACTGTCTTATAACAGCATTGCAATTGATTTAACCGTTCGTTATGCAAATTCATCGTAAAACTGAAGCCATATCTGGATATTTCTTTAAGAAAAATACCTAGGAGTTTAAAAACAGGTGAGAGGGGGCTAGAACTATAAAACTTGACTGACCTTGGCTAATTGGTCATTCCAGTGGAAAATCATCCTGAACTGTCAGAACATAAGAGTAGCTCAGTTATTCATGAGGGCTCCTTTTCTGTTGTTTTGTTCCAGTTTGAAGGTCGAAAATACTGCGAGCATGACTTTCAGATGCTGTTTGCCCCTTGCTGTGGGGAATGTGGTAAGATGTGATGCATGTCAACACCTGGGGTACGGGGCTGTGCAAACCTCCCACCATTGCAGTGACATCTGGCCCTGGGCTGGGATTGTTGAGGTCATTTTAAGGAGCAGGAGCTCTGGAGGGCAGCAAAGCGTGATACCAGCAGTGATTTTGGGGTATCCTGGTTCTGGAAAGAATTGTTTTTTTCAAAGTTGGGCTGTAGTAGTTCTTGTGGAGTTAAAGTGGAAGGGTTATGAAGGGCAGTAGTCTTTAAATAAGACTGTTTTCTGCATGCATCTCAAGCTGTTGCTTTCCTTTTGCAGGTGAGTTCATCATTGGACGTGTTATCAAGGCAATGAACAATAACTGGCACCCAGAGTGTTTCCGCTGTGAGCTCTGCGATGTAGCACTTGCTGACCTGGGTTTTGTGAAGAATGCAGGCAGGTAAGATAGAGCAGGAGCTCAGAAAGCTCTGTCAGTGTGATACTGGTACAGCAGTTTGATGCTGAGAGTGGTCAGTTGGTTGTATACCAAGAGGCAAAACCTGAAAAGGTCTGGTAGAAGCTTTAGGAGATGGGAAGTGGAATGAAGAGCAGTGTTGTTTCATCCAATGAAATGTGTAGAAAGCAGAAACTCCAGTTTTGGTAGCTAGTGGATGGCATCTGGAAAAGAAAGGGATTTCAGGCAAAATGCTGAGTAGAAAGTGAGAAAAAGGGATTATGTGATCCTGGGCAGGCTATTTATCAAGTGAGCTGCCGAGCAGGAAATCCAGACAGAGCAAAAGGCCAAGAGAATAACAGGAGGATTACAGCAAAGCCTGTTCAGCATGTGATTCCCCTGGTCTTCAGAAATCATTCCTTTTATGTACAGAACAATAAAAATTAGTCCTAAAGTTTGATTAATGTCTTTAATTAAGAAATAGGAAATAAAAACATTAAAGGGTACATAAAATTTATACAAAAGCATACCGTGATAAGAAAACAGAACAATCCAGCAGTTAGCAGACAGTGTTGCACAATTCATAGTTAATCTCAGGCTTTCATATGTCTCGAGCAAAGCCAAGTAGTTTTCTAGAGTTTATATTCTCACTAACTCTCACTAGAGTTTCTGTTCTCACCATACGTGTGCCCTGTCCAGCAGGGAGCCCTCTCTGTTCCCTCTTCTCTTCAGTCCTGCGTTCAGCTTCTGGTTTTGGAGTTGGGCATAACTGATTTTCTTTTGACACCTGATCTTGTTAGAATGGGCTGTTGTGGTGTCACGTAGGAGGGTTCCTGGGTGTTTTGGGATGGCAGCCAGGATTGAAGCAGTTCAAGCAAGATAAAGTATGATTTTGTAGTTTGTAGACCAAATCTAAAATGGTAAGGAGCTCATTACATAAAAAATATAATTCACCTGTGACATGATTTCCTATAATATCTATCTCCATAGCATGGAGTCATTCTTCTAGTAAATATTATTGGAAACTCTTGGGTTCTTTTTCCCAGTTTTCATTGTACCTGGTCTTCCCTAGCCTGCTAGAACTGTACTTCTGTTTGCAGTTTCAGTAAGACAAGAACATATGAGCTATGTTGTCAGAGGCGTTCTTGCTAATTGCAGTCCCATAAAAATGACACAACTTCCCTCCTCAGGAGTAAGTTTAACTCTGGATGGACTCTCTGCACGTTTGTGCTCTCAGCTGATTCTGATGGAGCAGAATGTTCTTAAGTCAAAGCAGTGACAAAAGTCCTGTTCACAGTTCAGATTTCGCACTTAGTGAGCTCTCATTTGTCTTACCCTCATATGTTTGAGGCAACATTACAGTCTTTTTAACACAGAACAGGTTGCACAAAGCCTCACGAAATTTCTCAGCCACAAAAAAATACATGACTGGGTCAAAGGCACCATTCAGACTTGTGAGACAGGAAGTGATGCGGTTACTGAGGGCTAGAATACGCTGTGTCTCACAGGAAGTTTTTGTCCCGTTGTAATGGAGAATATAAATGTAGCGATTGACATGATAAGGTACAAAGCAGATCAGAAAGATCATCAGGACCATGATGATCATTTTGATAGCTTTTTCTTTCAGGTGTTTCTCAACTCGGTTCCCGCTCTTTAGGCTTCGGATGATTAATAAGTAGCAAGTCACCGTAGTGACAAACGGGAAGGTGAATGCCACTGCTAAGGACACAAGGGCATGACGTGATGCCTTCTCTCTGTAGAGCTGCAGGCACACGGTTGTGTTGTTCATCTCGACTGTCTGCACGCTGAGCAGCAGAGGTGCCATTGCCACCCCCACTATAACCCACAGGAAGGCACAGGCCAAATGGGCGTAAAGGGACCTGCGGAGCTTGATGGATTTCACGGGATGCACGATGGCGAGGAACCGGTCCACGCTGATACACATGAGGAAGTAGATGCTGGCATACATGTTGAGGTAAAAAAGGAAGCCGGTGAGCCTGCATGGGATCTCACCAAATGGCCAGTGATTACCAGAAAAGTGGTACACCAGCCGGGTGGGAAGCACCAGCACGAAGGACAAGTCAGCCACAGCAAGATGCATCAGGAAAACGTTGGCAGGTGTGCCTGACTTTTGGTCCCGAACAAAAAGCCAAAGGGCCAAGGCGTTGCCAACAAAAGCCAGGATGAAGTCCAGGAAGTAGAAAGTGGCAAAAAGGATGTTCTCGAGGGGTGTCTCTTTGCCACATTGCTCTGACGTTTCCAAAGAGAAATTCGGTTGATTTGAGCAGTTGAAGAGTAGACTTGGGGGACCTGCTGGGCTGTTCATTTTTCACCACAGTTTTGAAGAAAGAACAAAACTGAACCCTGAAAGAATTGAGACAGTATATTACAGAAGAGCCTGGTTTGGTGAAGGAAAATACCCCACAAACCCAAAAAACCCACCCAAAACAACACACATGGAAATCAGTGATGTCTCCTGTTTGCTAATGTTGGTATTTAATTGGACAGGTTGGTCTGAGTTTAAACACTTACATTAAAATTCTGAATACCTCCTGCTCTGCTGGGTTTTCCAGACCATTAATTCCAGTTGAAGGAGCTACTCTACAGAGCTAGCAAGCTGATCATGAGCTTGTCTCCAGCCTGAGCTGAGATCAGTTGTATGGCAGAGCAGTGAAATGCTTACTGTCTGGTTAGTGGAAGAGTGGAAGTGAGTTCTTTATGTCTAGCTAGGAAGTATTTGCTGTGTTGAATTTGAAAGCCTGATTGAGGACTGAATAGTTCCTAATGAATCAGCTCTTCTGAACACAAATATCTGTTGTAAGGTGACCTAGCTTAGAATATCTGTCTTGTTCCTAGAGGGAGTAGAAGACAGGTCAGGTCTTGCTGTTACTAAAACACCCACAAGGTTCCTGAAAATCTTTGAGAATTATTTTAGCCTGAATTCCTGTATCTAAGGCGAACACATCTACTTCCAGTGTAGGAGGAAACTCTTCAGATGGGTAACAGCATCTCATTTGGACAGCAAAATCACTGAATTGACTCAGAAGAAAATGTTGGTGACGCCTGTGCTGGGGGTTACTTGTCAAAGTGTCACCCTTCCCTGCAGCTTTCTTCTTCTCCCACCATAACTGTCTCTCCCTCAAAAGCCTGAGCTCCACTGTAGCTTATCCAGGGCCTTTTCCAAGTAGCATCTTAGTAAAGCTGAGCTGAGCTTTGCCAGTCTCTGTTGTCTCCAGGATCTGGAACAGCAACAAAAATGAACCTTTTCAGATGATTGCTGATGCTGTTAGACTAAATTTTTATTCTCAGGCAGAACCTATGCTCTATGTTGAAATCTTAACATCGTTAGACAGTTGATCAAGGCATTACACAGTGCATGCAACTTTCCAACAAAACAGATTCAGATCTCTAAAAATATTGGTGGCTGATCAAGAAACTGAAATTGGATTAGGAACAGACCAATCTATTGGAAAATATTAACAAAATCCCAAGGTAATTCCTATGTTTTGTGTGGCTGCTGTCACTTCCAGGTGGACAGAAGACTACAATAGCTAGAGATGAATATGCTGGCCCACTTCTGTGTAGTTCACAGGTGAAGAGACAAAAGTCAATGGAAGGGAGATGGAATGAAATTCAGAAACTGAAATTTCTTCATATGGCCACAGAGGGGCTTTGTTACTCCATGCATTGCCTAAATATCCCCCATGTTTATGGCACAAAAAAGACTCCAGGTTTGAGCGTGTGGGTACTCAGAGCCTACTGCCAGCTGTATCCTTTGTAGCCCTAGAGACAGGGACAAATTATTATCTTGGTATTACTAGAAGTGCATGTGCAAGGAAGACTGTACAGCCCTTTTTCCCAGGGGACGTTTTATCTATAAAAATACATGTGAAATCTTGCTTTTGTGTGCAGAAGGAAAACTCCCTATTGCAAGTTTCCGTGTGAATTTCCTGGGTTTGCAGAGGAGCCCACAGTTTTTGTTCCTAGTGTTTGCTTGTCCCTTATGAAGTAAAAGCTGCAAGTATTTTTGAACAAAAGATGTGAAAGTTTCTATGTGATAGCAATGTTGAATCCTCAAATACTTGTCCTGGATGGAATTAGTTTAAATATATATCTTCCTATTGCATACCGAAGGAGAAATACAGTGAGGCCATGCCTTTTTACTGGCTGTTGATTTACAGTGGTACCTGTTATGTGATGTCCTGGCTCTGTAGCCCTTTTTGTGCCAGGCACCTTGTTTGAAGCTGAGGAGGGACTTTTTACAAGGGCAGGTAGCAACAGAACGAGGGAGAATGGTTTTAAACTGGAAGAGGGGAGATTTAAACTGGATATTAGGAAGAAATTCTTTACTGTGAGGTGATGAGGCCCTGGCCCAGGGTGCCCAGAGAAGCTGTGGGTGCCCCCTCCCTGGCAGTGCCCAAGGCCAGGTTGGACGGGGCCTGGAGCAGCCTGGGCTGGTGGAGGTGTCCCTGCCCATGGGGGTTGGGCTGCGGGGGTTTGGGGTCCCTTCCAACCCAAACCATTCTATGATTCGAAATATGCTTTTCAACGGAAAAAAATATTTTAAAAATCAGGTGATCTTTATATAGACATACCTGTGATGGTCTGATAGCTGAGCATTACTCTCTACATGGTTGTGACACCAGTGAGAAAGCAGTAAGTGCTGGCTTGCACCAGCTGAAAAGGCAGAAGCGAGGCTTGTCTTATGGAGCAGACAGGGCCATCACTTGTCTTAATGATAGTGATTGAAGTTAATTCGGGAAGCAAAGCAGTGAGCAAACTTTTCCCCTGTTTACAAGCTAAGTACTAGGGGGTTTAGCAGCAAGATTCATTGAACAGGTTCTATTTGAGCTGATTTCCTAAGGAGAGTCTTTGGGATTCAGGTTCAGCTGAGTGTCGGTGCCAGACACTTAAAAGTCGAGAGTTTTGTCCTCGCTGATTGGCAGCATTGAGTCTGCCATCGATTTCTATCTGAACATGCTTTTACTTAAAAATCCTGTAGAATGGAGCAGAAAGAAGAATGTCAGAGCTATCCAGGATCCCAGTATGGCCGTGTCAAGAAGGGGAAGGCTTTGAGCTGATGATAAAATTGAAACAGATTCAGTCGTTTCACAGGAGAGCTGCTCTTCCCTAATTTACTTTGAGAAGAAGGTGAAGGGAGGTATTTTTCATTGCCTGGTCAGAAATCATAGAAAAGAGAAGTTTTGCTTGGGTTTTAAATTAGAAGGGAATTCCAATCAAGTTTTTTATTTTCTTTATGATTCTCTTCATGAAAATTGTGGTGTAGCGCTTGAGTAGGTTAGGAAAAGAGCTGATATGTCTCTAGAGTTAAGTGTTGAGCTTATTTTGAGAATTTATACATTTTCAGCAAAATGCTGTGACTTTAACAGTTCTGGGTGTATTTGTAATTGTAGACAGCGTGGAAACCCCTTTGCTGTTATTTACAGCTGCACTTCTGTTTTGCCTGATTTTATCCCATCAATTTAAAAGAAATGTGTTGAATTTTTAGGTTTTTCTTCTTTGTGACTTGTTATACTTAAACCTAAGCACTCCAAGTCCTAGAAAGCTTGCTGCACTTGTCTGTATGAATGCTAAGGGCAAACTGGGAGCCTTCCCAAGTGACCTGGAATGTGTAATTTGTGCTAGGCTATATGGTGCAGGAGGCTTTAGCTCCACAGACAGCAAACTCCTTTAGGAGTCTGGCTCATTGTCCAATAATTTCCACTTGGATTGCGCTCTTGGTGTCGTGCGAATATTTCCTGATTTACATATTGCTAAACAGAGCCCTATTCTGGAATGAGCCATTATCCCAGGCCTCCCAGGGCTGAGCTGTAGTGGGAATGTCACTGTTCATTTGTAATGCGTGCACACTGAAGATATTTTATGCACTGCTTCTCTTCTGCTCAGAAACAAGCAGGATAACAATCTACAGGGCTGTCAATATAGAAACAACCCGATTACCCTTTCAGCAGATGCTCTACCTATCATTAATGCAACGATTAATAAGCAGAAGAAATAGTTCATCCTAAGTTAGTTACCTGGCTGATTTGGAGGTTTTTGTTATAATGCAGATAAATTTGCAGTATATGTTAGGGTTTGTGGTGGATTTCAGCGATTTCTGTTCTTGCTCTCGGGTAGAGCAGTTTCTGGTTTGGGGATATGCTAGTTTAGGAGTTTCTATGATTGTGGTTGTAGTCTCTTGTCCAATGGTAGCATCTCCTATCTTTGACTGAAAGTACTTTTCATTAGAAATAAGCCACTTCTGACTGAAATTCTCCTGAGAATCACTCCCTGCTGAGCCCCCCACCTCTCAGCTGAAATACTTGTTTCCTCTGAGCATCAAAGCAGCATGAGAGAGCACTGGATGTACCATAGAACTGCCGGTTTTCCTGTCACAAATGGATGGATGTTAGGTACAGAAGTTTGAAAACTGTTGTGTTTTGGATGAGTGGTGTAAAGAAGAGTGAAGAAATTCTTCTTTGAAGTTCAAAAAATGCTGCCTGTTCTTAATTTCAAACATTTCCATTATATTCATCTGCCTCTGTGTGTGTGTGTGTTTCCACCTCACTGACACCAGCTAAAACTAATGCCACTAGGAAAGCCCCTCATTATTCTGCTAATAGAAGTTTGTCTCTTACCTCTTTGCAGTGCAGTCCTGTGGGTGGAGTATAGGGTCCTTTGGGAAAATCTCAAGGAACTCCTTCTGATGACAGCAAACCAAATAGGAGCAAGAACGGTGAAAACAAGATCATCCAAAAAGAGCACAGAGTTGCAGAGTTGCTGAGGGTGGAGAGGGGAGCCCCTCTATATAGTGTCCTTCTGGCTCTGATAACGCATTATCAGCTCAGTCACGCAACAGAGCAGGGGAGAGGACACCCCGGCACTGAAGAGCAGTCTTCATCCCAGCTGACCCCTTGGCGTGGAGGTTGCTGCTGCTGTTACAGATATGACTGCACTGTATGAATATTCCAGTGTTCATGGTGCTTACTGAAGGCTGCTGCTGATCCCCCCGCCGTGAACACAGACTTCTCGGAGTCCCCTGATTATTTGAGGAGGGTGGAGAGCAGCATTGTTTGGAGGAAGTCTGGTATTAATAGGCACAACAGGACATTTCAGAATGGGATAATTCCATAATGGTGGGATTGGGAAGGGGGAGAGAGAGAGGGGCGGCTGCTATGGTAACAGCTTAGCCTGCCCAGCACTTCCCTTCGCTCGTAATAGAGGAGGGTCTATGGGACGGCAGGGAGGGTTTGTGAGCGGGGAGGGGTTGATAATGGTTTATCAGTGCAAATGGCTGAAGGCATCTTATTCAGCTGCATGAGAGGGGTCTCTTTCAGGACACTTGCTTCAGGGTCCCTATGTCCTGCCCTGTATAATTACTCTGCATTTGACGGTGCCGAATAAAATTGATGCCTTTATGCTGAGATGAGCACAGCTGCATGTTTCCTTATAATGGGGTGCTGTCTGCTTTTTCTGGACTCCGTCTGGGCAGACAGTAGTTCCAACCCTGGAGAGAAACTCCTGCTGACAGGAGGACTCAGATTTGGAGAGAATAATAATGATACTTAGCACTTAGACAGGCGCCTGCCAGCTGAGGGTCATCACTGTTTTAGGTCTCACAACAACATCTGTGTTGTATTCTTATCCCCATTTTACAGATCTGAGGGTAAGTGATTCATCACGCCAGAATTTGGGAAGGGGCCCTGCCAAGAACCCACTACTTCAGCCATAAATCTACCCTTTCCATTTGAACTTTTCCTTTTGTCTGATGTCTTTTGAGAACGACCTGTAAATCTCAGTGAGTGTTTTGCATAGTGATACAGTGAAAGGAATTAAGCAGGCTTGTCTGTTTTGTGACAAAGAAAGCCACAGAAGTTTTCATTTTATCATCAGTTCTTCCCAGCCTGCAGCATTGCAGCCAGTGGGGTAGGTAACAGGCAAGTAAACTGAACAGCTTCTCCTCAGAGCTTGTAAAATATTGAGATAAGACTGGTGGATTCCACAGACTTTACAGAAGTTTTTTAGACCTTTGCCCAAGCTTTTCTACCAGAAATTTGGCTTATTTGCATGTTTAGGACTGTGCCTGCAGTACGTTCAAGGGCAAGTAATATGATTTAGTGTTAGGTAGTCAGTGGTAGTTGGACTTGATGATCCTTATGGGTCCCTTGCAGATTGAGATGTTCTATGGTTCTGTGTGATAGGAACATGTTTACATTTACCACATACAATTGCGTCCTTCTTTATTTTCTTTAACTTGAGACTAAAAGGAATTTGTAGGCAGAAGAGCTAGGATTCTTGTTTGTCCTAGCTGTTGAAGACTAAGGAATCCAGTCATGGTAAAGGCATTTGAGCAATGTGCTTTGGTTTAATGGTTTTTATTCTTTCTCCTTGACACCTCCTGCCCTCTCATGCTGTCATGCCTCTGGTACGGCTGGATCCCATAGTTTTATAGAGAAGGTGTTGCCACCTTTCCTTGCCAACCTCTCAGAAAGGATCTAGAAGAACTGGAAAGAATACCTAGAAGAATGATGTGAAGATATCATTAATGGGATAGAAATCAGTGAATGTTGGAGGAGTATTCTGAGAAAATACAGCTCTGTGACTGCTCTAGCCACATACTCTTTTCTGTGCAAGATACTGGAGTAAAAGATGTTTAGTCTGAGTTCACGAGACACTTCTGTTACATGAAGTACATCTTGCAGCATGCCATGTGCATCATTTTAGGAGAACTGATTTCTTCATTTTTTCCTTTCTTTCCTTTGTTCAAATAGACATCTGTGCAGGCCGTGCCATAACCGTGAAAAAGCTAAGGGGCTGGGCAAGTACATCTGTCAGAAGTGCCACCTGATCATTGATGAGGAGCCTCTGATGTTTCGGAACGATTCCTACCACCCGGATCACTTCAACTGCACCCACTGCGGGTATGTTCTCATCTTCCAAACTGACAGCAAAGGAGAGAGAGGCACTGTTCAGTCAGCAGTGCTGTCCTTTCCAAGGCCTCAACTTTGCTGCCTTCACCTTGTTGAACAAACAGAAATTGCATGAGGAGAAATTGAAAGAAATTTGGAAAGCCTACAGGAACTTTAGTTTCATTTTGCCATTCAGTGTTCTTCTATCCTAAATTTGAATGACACTTTTATGCTGAAATTTAAAATAGTTCCTTGGTATGCACTTACCCCAAAGGTTTTGTGCAGATTAGAGTGATAGTGATGTCCAAAGATGGCTGTTGCCAGACTATTCAAAATAGTTTCACTTTGTATTCCTGGATAGAAACAAAAGATGACTTGGAGAGCTGTGTCAGTCTGGCACAGTCCATTACCTGTCTGACCTGAATTACTTACCATGAAGGCAGTATAACTGAGCCACAGCACTGCTTTGGAATGGGGAGCAGTGCTGGAGAATCAAGGAGATGGGTTTGCTGGGATGCTCCTTGTACCTGAGCCATCCCGTTCAGAGGTAGTCTGAGTCTTTGCATGGCACTGCATCGTTCTATGTAAGTGCACCTCAGATTTCTGCCAGAGCATCCAGCTGCAGACATGGTACTCCACATATGTTATTGTCTGGCAAACTGAGAAAGCAATTTTAGAAAGATGAGTTGACAGTAACTGTATTTTATTAGCCTATTTTTAGTAATGCATTTGTAGCATGGAAGTATGTGAACTTTCAAGTTTAGTCTTCCAAAACTTCTTTTTGAGCATTGAAGAGCTTTGCTTGGTGTTTGTTCTTCAGGGACGTGTTTGTGTTTACAGGAAGGAGCTGACTGCTGAGGCCCGGGAACTGAAGGGAGAGCTGTATTGCCTGCCCTGCCACGACAAGATGGGAATCCCCATCTGTGGAGCCTGCCGCAGGCCTATCGAGGGACGAGTGGTCAATGCTCTGGGAAAGCAGTGGCACGTTGAGGTGAGGCCTCGCTGGATCTGCAGTGCCCTTCAGCAGTCATTTGGGAGGAGGACTGGTGCTAGATGGAAGCTGTAGGCGTTTGCCTGATCTGTAATATGAGATCAGACAAAGCCCAGCTGCTTGTGTTTCAGGTTGTCTTCACCTTCCGTGAGTGAATGAGTACAGCAGGGCTATCAGGGTTGCCTAAGAAAGCTATGCTTTCACAGTAGTAATAACCTTAGTTTTAAAATGCTTGTGTGGCATTGTAAAGATTCTTGCAGAGTATGGTTCACTGAATAGCATTTACTAATAATAAATTTACATATTCACTATGATGTATTTTCATGTATCCTCTCCAACCTCAGCTAACACAGCAAGTTAACGTGCTCTGAAGTTTTTTAGTGATGAAGTTTTTTAGTGATGTATATTTTTACTGATTTGAGCCTCCTAGAGCTTGAACTGAGAGATGATGTTGCTTGTCTGAAGTGCATTCATACCAGCTGTGGTTGATGGTCCTGTTTCTCTTCTCTGGAATAAGCAAGATAATGGTCCACAAGTCCATCAGTGTAGACACAAGATGATTGCCCTTTCAGCAGGTCTCCTACTATCTTTAATACAGTTCTTATTTACTGTAGCATGCAAAACATTTCCTCCACTCTTTTACTTCCATAAAAATTTTCTTGCCTGAGTTTCATTAAAGCATTAAGGCGTAACAGTTTTAAACTGAAAGAGGGTAGATAAAGATGAGATATTAGGAAGAAATTCTTTGCTGTGAGGGTGGCGAGGCCCTGGCCCAGGGTGCCCAGAGAAGCTGTGGGTGCCCCCTCCCTGGCAGTGCCCAAGGCCAGGTTGGATGGGGCTTGGAGCAGCCTGGACTGGTGGAGGTGTCCCTGCCCATGGGGGTTGGACTGGATGAGCTTTAATGTCCCTTCCAACCCAAACCATTCTATGATTCTGTGATTTAAGTGTCTCGGATTGAGCCATGATTTGTAACCTTGCAAGTTTTTCCCTGGTGATGGAAAAGTCACTTTGCCTGCTACTGAATGTCTTTTCTTCTTCTTTCACAGCATTTTGTTTGTGCCAAATGTGAGAAGCCCTTCTTGGGGCACCGACACTATGAGAAAAAAGGACTGGCTTACTGTGAAACCCACTATAATCAGGTAAATTCTGCCATCTAGACTGTAGGTACTTGCTCTGACTTGCAAATGCTTTTTTGCATTTTACATATGCAAAGCTATGCAGGTTTTGCATCATCTGAATTTGTAGAGGCAATGCAATATTAAGAAATGAGTTAGATTTAAAAGAAAACGTTGTTTTTCTTGGTAGATGTGGAAAGTGATGATGGGAATGTAATAGAAATGTCTTGAGGGTATTGATTTTTCTTCATGCCATTGACAAAGAAAAACACTCACCATAGGTTGTGATCAAAATTCCTGTAATTCTACTCCAAAACGACTTGTGTGGTGTTCTTTGACAATTACTTGCTTCCATGGGCCTAAGACAAATGCTGCATTGTCTAAAGCATAAGAAAAGTACATTTCAAAAGCCAATCACAACCTATTTTTTCTGTATGAGTCTATTGACCAGCTCTGAGTTTGGTATTTTCTTCTGTCAGATAAATTGGTCTCTTGGTGTCTTAAGAGATAAGTGTTACTGGTTTGCAAGTAGCTCTAAGTTTTCATTTTATGTTTGTAGTTAAGCATCAGAAGATGTTTGTCAACAGTAAGCATCATACTCTACCACCCCTTTTTTCTCCAAATTGCCACGTGTACGGGACTTTAAGATCACATAACAGTGGTAGAGTGTGAGGCATCAACAAGAAAGGTTTTGTAGTACTTAGTGGTGTGAGATCCAAAGGAATATAGACTATCTGGCAAGTCTATGAGGAGTTATTCAGAGGATTTAAATTGGTGTATTTGGGGGCTACTGCGATGTCTGGGAGTTCTTTGATTGTTCAGATTTACTGTTCACACCAGCTGGGTAATTTGGGGAGCACGAGTGGTCAGTAACACGAGTTCTTGTTATTATTTCTTTTGCTGTGCAGCTCTTTGGAGATGTCTGCTACAACTGCAGCCACGTGATAGAGGGAGATGGTAAGATTTGTTCTCTCCGTGGTTTGGGTTGCTGTCCTTGTTCCATTTGTTGGTGCAGCTGTTGCGGTCCCACACTTGCAAGGCACCAGTGTTTCTTTTCACATCTGGCCTCATTTGAATTTGGATACAAATCCCAATTCAAATAATGCAGCAGTTTCCTGTTATTCTGTGCTTTTGCTTTTGCAGTGGTATCGGCTCTTAACAAGGCCTGGTGTGTGAATTGCTTCTCCTGCTCCACCTGCAACATCAAGCTCACACTGAAGTAAGTCAATGTTTATATTTTGGAACATATGAGACACTTGCCCATCAGGCAGAGTATCAGCCCGTGCCATGACCCAGTGCCTCTCCCAGGGGCAATGCACCTTTCCTCTGTGTTTATAATTCCACTGACTTCAGAACTACAAAGGAAGCTGGGACACAGCATCCTCTCTGATGTATTTTCCTTCATTCATCTGTTCTGTAAGAAGGTTGGGTAAAAGGAGAACTCCTCCAGCAGTACTGGAGGAAGGCTCTAAGCTTTGAGTCACTGCCTGTCCTGAAATACACACAGCCTCCATGTCTCCTTAGGCTGGATGCTCCCCTCAGTTAGGGCATTTGCGATTGTGCGGATCATTTTGAAGGAAAATACTGTGCTAGTTACCTCAAGTAGTAGAAGAGGAACAGAAAACAAAGCAATCCTACATTTCTTCCTGTTCAAGTTCAAACCCTTATCCTATTACACTGCATTAGCCCCACTGGCCTTGTATATGAAGGAGCTCTAATTCATCACAAAGAGGACCTTGGAAGTGACACTTGCAATCTGTGATAACAACATTATTATTCTAGACCGTTGCACACAAATATATGGAAAAATCTTGCTCCTTATTGAACTGGCAATATTAAAGACCCCAGTTCCCTGATAAGAACCCAGTCTGTGTACTTTTACATGACCAAACAAGGCAGTGAGTTGTTTTATACATGCAGTAAAACGTGAACAGCATTTGCATAGATGCATGGAAACTCACTTTAGTGAAGCATATAGTTTGCAAATACCATTTTTTAATAGCCCACTGTTCTTTGTGTTAAACGAATAAGTTTGTGGAGTTTGACATGAAGCCTGTATGCAAGAAGTGCTATGAGAAATTCCCTCTGGAGCTGAAGAAACGCCTGAAGAAGTTGTCAGAGCTGGCATCCAAGAAGGCACATCCCAAAGCTCTGGATTTAAACTCTGCTTAAACAGGTCTGTCAGGCTGCTGACTGCGCTCTTGCAGTCGTAGGCTGCTGCTCACAGCAGCTGCTGGTTACACAGGCAATTACTAAGAACAAGTGAAACCAAAGATAAGTATTACCTTCCCCTGCTGCTCGTAGTGTAGCTTGTATCTTAACTATCCCTTTTCTTAAGCAATTGTGTGATACTGGCAGAAAGCAGAATATGAATTGAGCAGTTTACTTTACAGGCTCGTTATTAATTTGCTAATAACAGCTTACTCTGCCTTTGTGGACTTGGACACAGTCTTTCCTTCCTCAGCTGAACTGTACTTCTCTCTCCCTTCCTCTATAGTCTAAGAAAGCTTGAGTGTAGAAGAAATGTGCAGTTTGCTCTTTTTCAGTTGAAGTATAAAACTTTCTCTTCTTACCCTGGGTGAAGACACTTTTATTTTAATTTTTTTAATATGTAGGCAAATACTCTGAAAGCTGTCGCTCTTTGCTACATGCAAAATGTTCTGGTCTTTCTCCAGATTCCTACTGAGCAGATCCGGATGCTGTACGGTCCTTCTGGTTCACAGGTTTAGTGAGAAAGCCCAGGACCAATAGCTGTGGCATCTGCACTGCCCACTTGTCTGGCTTAGGCTCAGTGTTAAGACAGCTGAAGTTTTTTGCTTCCCTGTTCAGTACTAAGGAGATTTCAGCTGTCAAGGCCGTATCAGCCTCTTCAGAGTAGTTGAGCCCTCCTTAAGGAGGAGATGGCTATGGGAAATGAAAAAAATCGTTGGGAAATGAAAAAAATCGTTAGAAAATGTCACTGTGATTTCCTCAACGTCTTCTCTACCACTACACAGGTACTAGAGCTGCTAGTGGTCAGCACAAAGCATGTCCTGTCCCCTGATAGAACTGACAGTTCTTGAGGCACTGTGGCTGGAGCCTTGGTTATTCTTTTGCATGGTGAAGTCTAAGTGCTCATATGATACCAATTTAAGTGCTTCAATTCCCCTGGCCTTCTCACTTTATCTGAAAGATGTGTGTACTCTTGTTGGTCATGCTCCAGAAAGCCAAATTACATGAAGGCATTTCTCATATTTACAGTTTGTAGCAAATGTGATCTTATGCAGAAAAAACCCAGGAAGTCTTTTTCTTAAAATTTTCACCCAAATAAGAGTTTCCTATCACCTTTCTTCATAGGAGCTAGGTGCACTTAGAGAGAGGACCTCAGACAGGAATCTGTGTATCTTAAGCACATAGTTCTGCTCTGTAGTTTTGTCTGTTGCTGGTGAAGTTCTGCTGATCCTGCTGCTTCCGCTGGCACAACTCAGGGTGCTGAGAAATTTCCTAGTTTTGAACATTCTCAATGGTTTTTTAGGGGTGAGCCATCATCAGTGCTGTTCCCGAGTCCACCTGTGTGTTGTAAAATCACGGTGAGCTTCTGAGACCTCTAGAGGTGTCCCCCATAGTTTCTTGTGCTGAACTAAGCTGAGCAGCCTGAAAATCTCATTCTGTTAATAGTTGGAAGCTGTGCCTGCCCTTTTTGGGAGGGAGACAGAATGAAAGGCACAGGAAGACTGCTGTCCCTTGCCTGATTTCAATCTTCCAAAAAGTGGCTAGTTTAGTAGGTGTAGTGAACACAGCAGTTGGGCCTAGGTATCACCCTGCAGCCCCAGGTTTAATCAGCTAGCAAGAAGTTAAAGCTTCCTCACTTTTTGTATGAGTGAGCAGCATACTGGGGCAATAACCTACCTTAAACCTGTCCTCACTGCCATCACATTCTGCTCAAAATAGATCTGAGCAAGACCGTAGATAAAGCATTGAGAGCTGTGGACACACCTGCTGTAGCTGCTGCTCATGGAACTGCACCAGATACCGCAGCAGCGGTGGGAGATCCTCATTAACTGTGTGCAGATAAGAATCCCATATGCAAGACCATCTCTTAGAAACTGGCTTTGCTAATTCAGTTTTCTTCAGCTGCTTTGCTTTTTGTTGCTCTCAGTTACCATAAACTTTTAACTGGGGTATACTTCATCCACTATATAACACTGATGAGGGGACAGGCCTTAATTTTAATTAATAGGACTCTTTGATCCACTTCTGACCAATATGCACTGTAGATTACAGTAGTAGTAGCTGCTTTTGTCACTGCTTTAGGAGCACACTGGCTAGTCACTATTTTCTCATCAGCCTTTAAGGCATCTTTCAGTTAAGGGCACAGAGAGCAGCGTGTCTTTTGGTGCAGTAGTGTGTGGCCACTGCAAAGACCGGTCCTTTAAGCCTGTTGTTTGGCATTTTTTCACAGCATAAACCACGACAACCACTGATCCAGGTGCAGTTCATTGTGTTATGCAGATTCTTCTCAGCATAAAACATTCAGGTCTGTTCTGTCATCTGTCACAGGCCATGTCTAATGCTAAATCTGAGCAGCTGTGTGTCTTCAGCCTCCTGAGAAGGCGGTGGAGGAACACACACAGCTGCAGAGTTACTGCTAAACATGGAAAGACTGCATGACCAGCAGGCAATAGGTAATATTCTTTCAGTGGCCACTCTCAAGTTCAGCAATGGAAAATCCATGTATGTACTGATGAATGGAATTGCTTTTGTACTGCAAGTAGAGATTTAGTGTGTGCTGTCACTTTGTCTCATGTTAGAAATCCAGTTTTCAAAGGATGGGATTTGGATTCTGTCCTGATCTTCAGAGTATTTCCCAAAATTGGTGGAGGAAGAAATCGTAATGCCTGATTTCTGTAATAGTGGAGGGTGATGTTCTCTTAGTATCTCTTAAATTATTTAACTATTAATTTTTCACAATTATTTTTCTGATACTCCATACTCCATAGCCTACGATGAGCAGAGCTACAACGGTGTATGTTACTGGCTTACCTTTTGTGAGACGGGGGAATTGAAGGAGTAGGAGAAATAACTAGAAATAGTTGAAATGCATCTTCCTCTACTTTTTTGAGTTCACTTTTTAAAAACTAAGTAGAACGGAATGCAGATTTATGAATTCTCTGTAGCATGTCGATAGGCTGACAGGGTGTTTGTTGTAGGTCTTGGTCAGAAATAAGCTGCATGCTTTTTCCATTGCTGTAAACAGACGTGCTGACCAAATTCATCCTAGGTACCACACCACTGGAGAGCATAGACTTATCTCAAGGTTGAACTTGGCTCAGAAGTCCACACTTACTAAAAGCTGTTGTCTCATTATGTACATGTATCGTTTACATTCATATTTATACATGTTGAACTAAAGTCACTAATATTCACTGAGTACACTTGAAAATGGTTTTGCTTTCCAAAACTGCAGTATGTGAAGCTTGTTTGTAGTCAAAGGCTATGGTAATCACTTGCAATCGTTTTTCTTTATGGCACCCTAATCTGCTCTCTAGGGTTTGTGTCCTGGTCTGTATTTTTATGGCAGTCTGCACAATCTAGGCAAATATTGTTGTACCTTCTTTACAGAGAGTTCCTAAATGTCGTGTGGTTTGTATTAGATGATGTGACTGACACATTTTCAGAAGGGGTTGGATGGTGAAGGACTAGATTGCAGGCAAACATGTAATGCAGTTGTACTAGTCTGTAAAGCACTGTGAGGTGCTGAGGATGGTGCTGAGTAAAAGAATTGGCAGCTGCTTGCCTTGTTTCAGGTTTTGGTGAGTTGTATGGATTTTGCACTGTGTGGAGCTCTCGTTTTATCACACGCTGCTTGTGCTGTCTAAGTAAAACATGATTGTGGATTGAAATGTTGTAATACTGTACCTTTTTGTGTTCCTGTAATAAAGTTAACTGTAATACCTTTTAAATCTTCGCACAAAGAAACAAATGTAAAAAAGTTGTGTATTGTACAGTAAAAAAAATGACATTTGCAATGCTGAGCCAGAGCATTTCACACTCTTGTGATTGTCCGGATTTGATGCACTATTGTGCTGAATTGGTGTTTTGGACCTGTGCTGCTTCTGTGGTGATGTGTTGGTTGATGAGGATGTGCAAAACCAGGTCTCATCCTTTTAGAGGCTGTGCTGAACACATTGTGTTGTGTATGCGATGAGTAGATGGGATGCTATGCTCATTTTCAGGCTGTAGTGGATGCTTGGTAGGTTTAGGTTACATGGATCTAGAGTGAATATTCAGTTTTCTTGTTGTGAAAGACATCGTGGTCAGTTTTCTGCAGAGTTTATTTAAAAACCAGAAACAATACAGTTCTTTTTGTACAGGTGAAGTATTGGATGCTTCTCACTTACAGCAAGTTTGATCAGACATGGGGGGACAAAACAACTCCAGGTCACTAGTCTCCAAAGTTTCCATTGCCAGCAATGGACATGACAG